GGTCATCTTCAATTGGAAGCAACTCGATAACATATTAGAACCCTACTACCTACTGGATACTTGGAAAAGAAATTTTCTTTGATTCAGCCAGCTGTGTGCAATGAGATATGGGAGTAATAGCCTGTCTGCAGATATACATTGCTTCTATTTTTGTGACTCTCACATATAAGGCTGTTGGAATTAATGACTAGTTAGTATTCAGTTGAGCTCCTGCTGCGTAGAAAGTCTTGCTAGCATACTAATGTAGGATCATTTCACACTGATGAATCCCACTTTACTATGGTAAAGCTTGCACAAGTTTAATCCCACATTACTAAGCTGGTGGGACTTTCCACTCAGTAGCAGCTGAACAGGATACAGACAAATGAATTCAAGAACGCTTGATATAATGGAACCAGCAGTCTCCACTGTGCTAAGGCTGTATCTTTATCTGGTGAGTTGTTACAATGAAATTGGTAGAAGCTGTTTAATTTTCTCATACAGTTATGCAGACCTGGCATGCATAACTGAGACTTGGATGGGTGGGGAAGGGGGTGTTCCCCTGACCCTCACCTGCCCTCCAGGTTATGCAGTCCAGGTATGGGGAGGAGTAGCCATTGTATATAAAAACACTCTAGAGGTTGTTAGGCACGCCACAATGCTGACACCAGGTCTTGAGGCCCTGCACGTGTCAATTGGGGCTAGGGATGGTATTGGGATCCTGCTGGGTTACCATGCGACCCAGACATTTCCTTACCAGAGCTGGCGGACTTCATCTCCACGGCACTGTTGGAATCCCCAAAGCTTTTGGTCTTGGGTGATTTCAACATCCATATGGAGGTGGAGGTTTCTGGACCGGCTCTTGAGGAGATACTCATTAAGCACATTAGGAAGAAACCAAATTAGGTGGCGGACGATATTGGCAATTATAGGTCCATCGCCAATGTTTCTTTCCTTAGTAAAGTGGTAGAGAGGGTGGTGGCTGACCAGCTTCAGCCCCTTCTGGATGAAACCAATGCCCTGGATCCGTTTCAGTCTGGCTTCAGGTGTGCCATGGTACGGAAACAGCATTGGTCACCCTGTTTGATGACCTCCTGAGGGAGGCCGACAGGGGCAAAATGTCTCTGTTGGTCCTTCTGATATCTCAGCCGCTTTTGATACCGTTGACCACAGTATCCTCCTGGGGAGGCTCTCTGAGCTGGGAATTGGTGGTCTGGTGTTAGCCTGGCTCTAATCCTTCTTGGAGGACCGTCCCGAGGGTACAGCTGGGGAACAGTGTATAGGCTCCATGGAATCTCAATTGTGGGGTTCTGTGGGACTCGATTATTTCCCCAATGCTGTTTAATATCTACATGAGGCTGCTGGGTCAGGTCAGCAGGGGGTGTGCGGCTTTGTGTCATCAGTATGCTGATGACACCCAACTCTACATCTCCTTTTTTCCTACAACAGTGGATGCCGTTCCGTCCCTTTAGCGCTGTCTGGACGCTATACTGGGATGGATGCAGACGAATGGTCTGAGGCTGAACCTGGACAAGACAGATGTCCTGAGGATGGGTGGCACAGACATTGGTGTTGGTGGTGGGAGACTCTCACCATGAAGACTGAGGTTCACAGCTTGGGGATACATCTTGATCCAGCGCTTCCCATGAAAACTTGGGTAGCATCAGTGGTCCGCACCACCTACTTCCATCTTTGGCGGATCGCCCAGCTGCGTCCCTATCTTGATGTCGGGGCCCTCACCACTCTGGTCAATGCGCTTGTAGTCTCAAGATTAGACTAGTATCCTCCCCTAAGGTCATGCTTTTAAAAGCATTTAAGGATATCCTCCCCATGTGCTAGTTATGGATTTGGGTAATTTTTCTGCCATCATTTGAATTTTATTGCTGCTGGTTTAATTTATTGGTGTTCATGCTGGTCTTTTTTGTGCAATGTTTGGTTGGCCAGGGTTAATTTTTGTATATTTATTGTTGACTGCCCAGAGTAGTGCTTGTCACTAAGTCCGGTATTAACAAAGTATTTTAAATAAATGAATGAATGAACAAATGAAGGAACAAACAAATGAATGAATTCCAAGATCTCCCAACTATTCTTTTTTTTTCTCTTCACTTTCTTGTATCAGAATCTAGGAACTGACAACCTGATGATATACGGTACATGTTATGTGTAAGTGGGAGAGTGATGTGCTGAGGCTCAGGCCACCTTCCACATCCTCCATGGGGGTTGTCTGTGGGGTAGGAATGACCACTGAGAGAGGAGCATGGTCCAAACTGATGAGATCTCTATCATTGGAAGGTTGATACCCCAGATGTGGCTGCAGCAGGGGCCCCATCCACATCAGAAAACAGAAAAGAAGGCATTAAAGAAAAAAAATTACAAGCAAAAATCACAAGGTAACAGGCCTTGTCTTAGCAGCATCTCTACTACCTCTCAGGCAATGAAAACATAATGAAATGACATGGGGCACAAACTTAAATTAAAAGTGATTCAAGTCCTCCACATGACCTTTCTGTCATTCTACAATCTGTGATCAGATTACCAACACAGCAGATAATCTTTAATGTGTTCCCACAGAGCAGCAATTGCAGAGGGGAGTGGCATAACAGCAGTGTCTCAACCAACCAATGAACCCACCCACCTACTTACCTGGAGAGTTTCTAGGAAAAATTCTACCATTATCTCATATAGAGCTATAGATGTTAATGATTTCATATTAAATGGTGATTCTGAAACCTGTTTAAAGTTATGGTGTAGAAACTGAACAGCAAGTTAAATTTTAAAACCACATTTATTTTAATACAAAAAAAATGTGTTGCACCATTACAGAAGTCAACTCTGTATTTTCACATGCATGGAGAACTAGGCATCTACATTTAATTGTAAAATTATGATTTCCTGCAATATAATTATTAATTCTTGGTAGGAATGTTTTTCCTTTTGTGCTTTCCAATCAGTGCGGCATAATTCTTTATTTTTGCTTTTGATTTCCTGGGAAAATGGGACCTAAGAAACTCTTAAATATTGGGCTGCCTATAACATGAAAATTGCAAATTGTGCTTCACGCATGCATTATATGCAACAAAACTGAGTATGTTGTGACCCAAATTCAAGCATGGATGCCATTGGAGTTTGGAAAACTCCTTGAATGTAACAGTCAACATGACCAGTGGCCATGCTGCCTGGGACATTCTGAGGATTATAGTAACAAAACAAGAACACAGAACCTTGGGACACACCCTTTGTTAATACTTGGTGGAATGTGTCAGTCCCAGTTGCTGTGCATCCTCTGTTCATTTAAGTGAAGTTTCTATAGAATTTGCACACACACAAAAATAGTTAAATATTGCGCACCAGCAGGTTTTAGTTGACTGCATATAATCTAAAGTCCTGCAGCAAGAGGACTGAATATTGCTTTAACAAAATTAGTAGATGCTTTTAAAAACCATGCACTTCATTGGCTAGAGTACTTCTTACACAGTACAACAAAAGCATTTTTTAAAAATTTTTAACACCTAGAAGCATATAGCATCTACACTTTAAGTGTATGTACAAATTCAACAAAATATCTACATATATAAAGCTTACTTAAAATTAAACTTGATGCAAGTTATGAAAAACCAATTTATTGGCAAATGAAACTGAGCATTCCTTCAACCATAGGTTGTCATATAAAATTTCGTATCTGGAGGTAAATCATTTCTGTGATATAGATAGATGTGTGCATGTGTGTGTGTGTGTTTGTGTGTGTTGGGAAGAAGTAACTTTCTAATAGATGTTAGTGAACATGTGTGACTAACCTTTGCCTTTGTCACATGAATTAAATGGTGCAGCCCTTCAGTAGCAATCTATATACCGCTTCACAACAAGCATAACAGTAAAAGATGCACCAGAGGAGTTGTGAGGACTTGGGAAAGTAAATGAGATTTGTGAGCAAGATGCCTTTGTATATTATGATGAGAACTTCTGAATCTCCCTGTGTTAGCAAAATATGCTAAGTCAGCCATTTTCCCATAAAATACGTAAGGCCATGAAAATGAGTTGTATTAGCTTCTCTATAGTTTATCTCCATAAAGGAAAAAAGAAAGAAACCTCAATGAACTTTGTATAATTGAAATAGGAACTTGTCTGTATCAAACCAATCTGGGCATTCAAAAATAATCACATTACTTTGGCAATGATGACAGTTCATTACTCATGCACTATTGTACGAAAGGAGTAAGGACACAAGCCACTGGGAACATTTCCTTCACAAGCTGCATGAAAATGTATAAAGTAATATATAAGTA